CCGGGCGGCGGGCTGGCACGGAGGCCGCCGTGCCCGGGGTTCGGGGTGGACGCGGGCGCCGCGGGGACAGCGAAGCTGTCGGAGCGGCCGCCCGGCCCGGCCCGGCGGGAGGGAGGCGGGCGCGCTGCCCCGGGGGGCTGCGCGGCCCCCGGCCCGAGCTCACCGTCCCCGTGTCCGCCCGCCGCCGCGCCCCAGGCCTCCTCTGACAGCACCATGGGCGACAGCGACGACGAGTACGACCGGAGGCGCAGGGACAAGTTCCGCAGGGAGCGCAGCGACTACGACCGCTCCCGGGAAAGGGACGAGAGACGGCGCGGGGACGACTGGAACGACCGGTGAGGCGCGGCCGCTTGGCCTGGTTCGGGTCTCTCCTCCGTGCGCCCGCGCCCCGCGCTCGCACTCCCTCCCCCGCGTCCGCCTTCCGCTCTGGAGTCGGGCTGGGGTGTAGCCCACCGTCGCGCCGTTTTCCGCAGTTAGGTCGGCCGCCGGCGGCGGTGGTGAACGGGGGCCCCTCTCAGCTGCGCCTCCGCGCGGGCCACGCAGGGAGACCCTGTCTCGGGTCCAGACCGCGGCAGGCGCGCGGGGAGCAAAGCGCTAGGCAGTGTGTGTACAGGCACCGGCAGTTTGCGGCTCTCACCCGCTCCCCTTCCGTTGAAAAGGTTTCCTAGAACCCGACCTGCAGCGTGCAGGTAGCCGCCCGGCGCTAAGCTGTCGTCCTGTTAGTGCCGCCAGGGCCCGGACCCAGGGCTTGGTGCTTGCCACAAACACTCAAGCCTCGGCCCCACTGAGTGTGTGCATTTTAAGACTTGTAATTGCCTCATCCATTCACTCGTTTGCTCGTTTTTGCTTTGAGGCAGGGACTCTGTGTAGTCCTGGCTGCTCTGAAACTCAGTTCTTACCGGAAACGCACAGAGGCCTGCCTGCCTCTGCCTCCCCAGTGCTGGGATTACGGCGTGGCCTTTCAGTTGTGCCTTAAAAGAGGAGAAATGGTTAACATGGAGCAGCAGGCTGTGGGAGAGTCAGGCCCCTTTGCTGGCAAGGTGCCATGGTGCTTTGCTTGGCCTAAGCTCCCGGGAAGAGCCGTGCCGGGTTGATGGGTTAGGCTTGTTTTGTCCCTTTAGGCAGGGCCTCACCGGGAAGCCGGAGCTGCTCACGAATCTGCTTTCTGGCCCAGCTGGCCTCTGACGGGGATCTCCCGGCCTCGGCTTCTAGGTTGTGGGGATTACAGGCAGCCTGCACACCAGCCTAACTGCTTGGGTATAAGTTAGCTCCTGGTTAACTTTCAGGGATACTCGATTTTTCACTTAATTATACCTAAAATGTTCCTTAAGAATTTTTTTCCCCCAGGACAGGGTTTCTCTGTGTAGCCCCGGCTGTCTTGGAGCTTGCGCTATAGACCAGGCTGGCCTCGAACCCAGTGACCCACCTGCCTCTGCCTCCCGAGTGCAGGGTTTAAAGGTGTTCGCCACCACCTCTTGGCTAGCTTAAGAAAATTTTGAAATGATTTTAAAACAGGCAATTAAGTTGAGAAGACGTAGAAGTTTACCTTTTTTTAATTAAAAAAGTGTTTTTATGGGTGTTTGCTTATGCCTGTGTACCTCATTTCTGCCTCGTGCCCGTGGAGGCCATAGAATGCGTTAAAATCCCTGGGAACTGGGGGTTCAAGAGCGTTGTGAAGTGCCTTATAGGTGCTTGGCCTCAAAGCCCAGTCCTCTGCAGGAGTAGCCAGCTCTCCAGCCCCCTCCCTTTTAAATCAAGGGCCTCTTACAGACAGCCACAAAGAACCAATTCAGCGAGTTAACCGTGGGTAGCTTGCCTTGGAAACAGACTTCCTTAGAGAAATTTGAGGTAACTTTTTCTCATAGAATGTGTGGAAATAAACTTAAGAGATTGAGGCCAGCCAGGGCCACATGGTGGCATCCCGTCTCAATAAATAAGTAAATGTGAAATTAAATTTAAAAGTGGAGAGGCTGCCAGTCAGCCCTTGAGAACCCTGGAAAGATGAAGGTGGGGCAGGGGCAGGGGCAGGGTAGGCACATGAGTGTTGGTGACTTTTGAGGCTGGAGGTGTTAACCTCTGGAGGGACAGGTGTTTGTGAGTTTCTTGCCACCTGTGCTAGCAGCCACCCTTGCCCCCCGCAGACAGCAAGTGCCCTTAACTGAGCCATTTCACATTTCACATCGCCCCTAGCACATTTAAAAAACTATTCTTATTTTTTGTTTGTTTGTTTTTTGAGATAGGGTTTCTCTCTTTGTCCCTGGCTGTCCTTGAAGTTGTTCTATAGACCAGGCTGGCCTCGAACTCAGAGCTCCCCCTGCCTCTGACCCCCCCCCCCCCCGAGCGCTGGGATCAAAGGTGTGCACCAGCATGGCTGACAGCTTGTTTTGCTGTTTGTGTTTTGCTGTGCTGCTGCCTGTGGGAAACGGAAGACTGTGCTGTCCCTGGAACTGACAGGCGCTTCCTAGGGCCTGCACCTCGGTCCTGAGCAGCTGAGGGCCACCTCTCTAGCCCCTTGGACTGTAGCTTTTAAGACAGGCTCTCATGTGGAATTTGCTCTCTTAGGGAGCACATCCTCCTGCCTCAGGCCTCTTGGCTGTGGAATTACAAGTGGGAGCCAGGGTACCCAGTTCTCCTCAGTGTTTCTCCAGGACTGAAAAAAGTCAAAGTTGCTTTTCTGAGTCTGCAGCTAGAGAAAGTCCCTCAGAGTTTAATCATGTGAGGAGGTGGCTTTGGGTGTGTGCCACAAATAGGTCATTGCAAGGGAACTTGCGGGTGCTGGCCTGGGCACAGGTAGTGTTGGGGAGAGCTCCAGGGAGGGCCCTTAGCTGGACTTGCAGGCAGCCCTTAGACACGGGCGGTGGGAAGAGCCTGAGGTAGGTAGGCACAGCCCGTGCTCAGCCGGGTCAGGTAGAGGCCTCAAGCTGTCCGGAGACTGCCGCTTCCCTCCGCGGTGCTGCAGCTTCGGGAGCGCTGGCTGGGACCGCGCCGCCTTAGGACAGCGGGAAGGGGGACCGTCGGGAAGTGTCCGGTGTCCGGCCTGGTTCAGGGTGAGCGACGGCTGGGTGGAGGGCAGTGCCAGCCACAGCAGGGCAGCAGGGCCGCGCCTGGGGAGCCTCTGGTACTCTTCGTGGGTGCCAGTTTTTACCCTGTGAGAGGTCACAGGCTGCCCCAGGAGAAGCTGCCAGGAGCCCGAGCCGGGGAGCGGCTGGAGGAGCACAGTTTTGGAAAACGGGCATCTACCCGTGTGGGCCCCAGCGTCCCCGAGTCTAGATTTCCCTGGAAAGAGGAGTCTTGTGGGAAACACATCTTGACACTGTGTAGTGAGGCACGCCAGGGTCCTTCAGGGCTGGTAGCACAGGGAGGTGAATGGAGCGGAAGAGAACGGAACCCTGGGCCGCGCTTGCACTGCGCTCCAGCCTGCTGCTGTGGCCCGCTGAGACAGTCGCTGGCTCCTGTGCTTGGAGAAGCGTCTTACGCAGCCCAGCCTGGTGTCACACTGCCCTCAGCTTACCCGTAAACGGCCTCATTCCAGAGCGGCGCTCACACCCGTAGGCTCTCCTGAGGCAGAGGCAGGAGAAGATGCCAGGTGGAGGCAGTGCTGGGCTGAGCAGAGTCCAGGCCCGCCGAGGCTAGGATGGGGCCCTGTTCAAACCCAGAAGGGGGCCTCCCACCTTCCGCCCCCGGGGCAGGAGCTGGGTGCCTGAGCTTGAGGCCAGCCTGGTCTACACAGGGAGTCCCTGGACAGCCAGGGCTACATTAACAATAGTACATAAGCAAATACGTAGCCCAGGTGCTCAGGAGGCGGAGACAGGAGGATTGCTTGAATTGAGGAGTGTGAAAGCCAGAAAAGAAGGAACAGCCCAGACTGTCTGCCCAGGCCGAGGAAGTGCTTCCTCTTCCGGTGCCGTCTGTGAGGGGTGGCTGTTTCTCCCTGCCTTGCCGCTGGGGGGGGGCTCTTCGGGCCAGCGGTGGAGAGAGCGGAGCTGCTTAGAGCAGCTTTGGGTTTCTGTTGTTTGTTGGAACAGTCATTGTTTTTATAAAAGCGTGAAAAACAGTGGTCCAGGCTGATAATCTATGAAGCTGAGACGGGAGGCTCTCAGGGTTGGGATCTGCCTACCGGGACGCGGCCCCGGGAGGCAGGGCCGAGGGACAGCACAGCTCGGGGACGAAGGAATGGCCTCGACCTCACAGATCCCCCTGCCTCTGCCTCCCAAGGGCCGGGATCACGGCACGCGCGCCACCACCCGTCGGGTAACTTCCATTAACATGAGGTTTTTGTTTTTGGTTTTGTTTTTTCAAGACTGGGTTTCTCTCTACCAGTCTGTTCCCCATTAACTCTGCAGACCGGGCTGGCCTCGAACTCCGTGATCCGCCTGCCTCTGCCTCCTGAGTGCTGGGCTCAGGCGTCGCCCCGCCCCCGGCTGTTAGTGTGTGGTTTTAGGATTCATAGACGCTAAATACTTGCCCTGGGGGGGGCGCGGTGCGTGGGACCGCACCGTGGGAGGGGAGCCGCGGCGGGCAGGCTTGCGCACGCTGGGGAGGGCCGGGCGTCCTGGCGGGCCTGCCCGGCTCCGCTCCACCCCGCTGTCGTGCTGTTGTGCAGGGAGTGGGACCGGGGCCGAGAGCGCCGCAGTCGGGGCGAGTACCGCGACTACGACCGCAACCGGCGGGAGCGCTTCTCCCCGCCGAGGCACGAGCTGAGCCCGCCGCAGAAGCGCATGCGCAGAGACTGGTGAGGGTCTCCCTTGGTCCTCGCCCACCCTCGGTCGGCGGACAGCTCGGCCTCCCTGTCGCAGTCGCCCCGCCCCTTCGTGCCCTGTGCCCCGTGGGGGAGGCCACGTCCTCCGCGTGCCCTCCTCCCGCCCTTGCCCGTGTTCTGCAGAGGAGGGCTGCTGCCCTCTGCCTGACTTCTGTGTCCCGCCCTCAGGGATGAGCACAGCTCTGACCCCTACCACAGTGGCTATGACATGCCCTATGCTGGGGGGGGTGGGGGACCAACTTACGGCCCCCCTCAGCCCTGGGGCCATCCAGACGTCCACCTCATGCAGCACCACGTCCTGCCCATCCAGGCCAGGTAACGGGCTCTGCCGACAGCTGGGGAGAGGTGGCTGGAGCTGGGAGGACGGCTCTGGGGGCCTGTGAGTGGGAGCACGGGGAGTGGTGGCCTGTGGCAGAGGAAGGGGTGTCTGCTGTCCCTCGCAACCAATTCTCCTGGAAACCCCCAGGCTGGGCAGCATTGCGGAGATTGACCTGGGCGTGCCCCCGCCCATCATGAAGTCCTTCAAAGAGTTCCTCCTGTCCCTGGACGACTCTGTGGACGAGACTGAGGCCGTCAAGCGCTACAATGACTACAAACTGGACTTCCGGAGGCAGCAGATGCAGGACTTTTTTCTGGCTCATAAAGACGAGGAGTGGTGAGTCCCCTGCTCCCCTGCCCCTTTGCCATGGCCTGTTTCTCTGGTCTGGGGCAGCCCTGTCCTCTGGTGCGCCCCACATGGCACTTCCTGGGAGTGGGGAGGGGAGGGAAGCTGTCGGCTGGCCAGCCCATCATCTCCCTCCTCCGCTGCCCTCTGGGGCACCTCCTGGCAGCTGGCAGAGCTGCTCAGCCTCCGGGGCCCACGCCCAGGCTGCGCCCCTCCTGCTGGTGTGGGTCATGGTCAGCCCCTGTCACCAGGACCAGTGTGGCCGTGTCTTCCAAAGGCAACGCGTGAAGCCAGACAGGAACAGCCAAGATCTCAGGGTCGTGTGACAGAAAAAAAGAATTTGTTTTTTTTCCTTATGTGGATGTTTTAATTTTAATCAACCATCTTTTCCCCCTCCTGCTCCTCCTCCTCATCCTCTTTCTGCTCCTCCTCCTTGAAAAGAGCCAGAACTGGGAACTACACCCGCTCATCGTCGGAGCTCGGAGCAAACCCACCTCCACCCCCACCATACCCAGCCCATACATGAGCCCCTGGGCTGAGCGGCGGGGCCGGCCAGGCAGACAGGCAGGGCACCGCTGTGCACAATGCAGTGGTCTAGCTGAACGTATTGCTCAGGCAGCTAGTCAGTCAGGGCCCCACCGCGGAGGCCGCGGGGCAGGGCATCCAGGCCGGTCACCCCAGCCAGGAGCCAGCGGGCAGCCCGCCAGCCAGCATGGGCCCTGGGCGCCACTAGTTAAATCTTGAGCTCTGTTTGACCAAGCGGCCAAGGTAAAGATCCTGGAGGTGATGCCTGCGGCTTTCCTCTCTGCTCAGCCTGTCCTGTCCTCGCGTGTCCATTCCGATTCCCCTGTGTGTGTGTGCTCCCGCTCCTCCCATTCTCTGTCCATGTTTCTTCTTTTGTTTCCTCAGCTCGTCTGTCTGGGCCCTCCTTAATCTCCCCAGTTCTCTTTTCCTCATGCCCCTAATTTCTTCTGCTTTTGTTTTTCTCTCCTGCCCTCAGAGGCCTACTAAAATGTTCTCTTTTTCATGCTCCACCCAAGTCCTAACCCTGCAGCCCTCCCTCTTCTATCCCTCGGGCCTACCTGAGGCCGGGCAGGCCCTTGGCCTGGCCCTTAGCTCTTTCCTGCCCCTTCACTGCCTTTTCTTCCCACCAAGGGAGAAGGGTGTCCTGCCTTTTGGCCTTTTCTATCTGGTACACTTCAGGTTTCCTTCTGGTCCACCTGGGGTGGAGGGAGTTGGCGGGACCTTGTCTGGGCTTGGCCAGGAGAGGGAGGTTCTCTGGGCTCCTGCCCCTCCTCTCTCCTGACGCTCTGGGAGATGGCCCTGACAGGGCGCTTCAGAGGCGAGCGGCAGTGCTGCCTTGGCCCTGGCCTTCCCAGAGCCACGCTCCTACCCCAGAACTCCCAGGCCCTGCTTCTCCAGAGCTTTCCAGAGCACGACCTTTGGTTCCTTTTGGGGGGGGTTGGGTGGATTCAGTGCTCCCCTTCCTTGATTTTGTGACCTGTGGGTGTGAGAGGCTGTGCCCTGCCTTTCCTGGGCCCCTCCGCACGCCCTGGCTGGGCCGTTGGGAACTGTCCCTCCTGCCCTCTCCCCCTCCTCAGGTTTCGATCCAAGTACCACCCCGATGAGGTGGGGAAGCGCCGGCAGGAGGCCCGGGGGGCCCTGCAGAATCGACTGAAGGTGTTCCTGTCCCTCATGGAGGGCGGCTGGTTTGATAACCTTCTCTTGGACATAGACAAAGCCGATGCCATTGTCAAGATGCTGGATGCAGGTATGGCCTTGAGGGCGGGGTCTTGGCGGGGTCTTGGCGGGGACTAGCCAGCCCGCTTTGGTTGTGACCTGTGTACTGTCATTGGCAGCTGTCATTAAGATGGAAGGTGGCACAGAGAATGATCTCCGCATCCTGGAGCAGGAGGAGGAGGAGGAGCAGGCGGCCAAGACTGGGGAGGCCGGCAAGAAAGAGGAGGGCCGGGCCGGGCCGGGCCCTGGGGACGGAGAGCGGAAGGCCGGCGATAAGGATGAGAAGAAGGAAGACGGCAAACAGGTCGGGGGTGCGGGGCTGGGGGCTGGACCCTCCACTGGGGCTGGGGCCCGTGATGCCCAGCAGGAGAGACAGGCGTCCTCAGAAACCATCTCCTGTAGGCTGACAATGACAGCTCTAACGAGGACAGAAGTAAGAAACCTGAGGGCGACGGGGACAAGGAGGAGAAGAAGGACGAGGCTGAGAAGGAAGTCAAAAAGGTACGGTGTGCCTACGTGAGGCCAAGGTGCGGGCCGGACCCTGCGCGGTCTTGATTGGCCTGCCTGCTGCTCCACAGAGCAAGAAACGGAACAGGAAGCACAGCGGCGACGACAGCTTCGATGAAGGCAGCGTGTCCGAGTCTGAGTCCGAGTCCGAGAGTGGCCGAGCCGAGGAGGAGAAGGAGGAGGCCGGTGCGCAGCGATCTTCAGGAACTTTTTCCGTCCACTCCTTTCTTTTGGGGGGTGATGAGAGAGACAGGGTCTGATGGACGGGAAGGGATCTCTGGGTGGTGTCTGGTAGTAATAGAATAGTAGTTGTCCTGACTCCTGCTCCCTGCTTAGAGGAAGCACTTAAGGAGAAGGAGAAGCCCAAGGAAGAGGAGCGGGAGAAGCCTAAGGAGGCTGCGGGGCTGGAGTGTAAGCCCCGGCCCTTGCACAAGACCTGCTCGCTCTTCATGCGCAACATCGCGCCCAACATCTCCAGGGCAGAGATCGTTTCTGTGAGTGCCACAGTGGGCCGGGCTGCCGGGAGGCCGGGAGGCCTGGGGGCTGTGGTGCGGCTCTTGGGGACCGGCCTCCTCGCTCGGCGGGGCGGGCTCTGGTCTGTCGTGAGGCAGTGGAGGTGCGGTGAAGGGCTGAGAGGCTGTTCTCCTTGCAGCTGTGTAAAAGGTACCCGGGCTTCATGCGGGTGGCGCTGTCGGAGCCGCAGCCGGAGAGGAGGTGAGGAGGTGGGGGAGGCCAGCCCGGCGGCCTGACTGCCCTTCTCCAGGCAGCGCTGACGAGCTTCCTCACATAGGTTCTTCCGCCGAGGCTGGGTGACCTTTGACCGCAGTGTGAACATTAAAGAGATCTGCTGGAACCTGCAGAACATCCGGGTGAGTGCTGGCGTGCGCTGCAGGGCAGACGGCTCCTGTCCCTCCACGAGTGTGTGAGAAGCTGCGGCCGGGGGCAGCCGGGTCCTGGTCGGTCCTCACCGGCCACGGCGGACTGTCCCCGCAGCTCCGGGAGTGTGAGCTGAGCCCCGGCGTGAACAGAGACCTGACGCGGCGCGTGCGCAACGTCAACGGCATCACCCAGCATAAGCAGATCGTGCGCAACGACATCAAGCTGGCCGCCAAGCTGGTGCACACCCTGGACGACAGGACCCAGCTCTGGGCCGCCGAGCCCGGGACGCCGCCCGCGCCCACAGTCAGTGGCTCCCGGGTCCTTTCTGCTGTGCCCCTCGGGCCCGGCCCTGTCTGGATGGCACCTCCGGCCTGGGTGGGAGGGGCTGAGGGGTGTGGCAGGAGACAGTTCCCCGGCGACACCCCCGCACGCATGTCCTCTCCCCAGAGCCTGCCCTCGCAGAACCCCATCCTGAAGAACATCACGGACTACCTGATCGAGGAAGTGAGCGCCGAGGAGGAGGAGCTTCTGGGGAGCAGTGGGGGTCCCCCTCCTGAGGAGCCTCCCAAGGAGGGCAATCCCGCCGAGATCAGTGTGGAGAGGGACGAGAAGCTCATCAAGGTGCCCCTCTGAGACAGGCGCGCGCGCGGGCGTGTGTGTGTGTGTGTGTGTGTGTGTGTGTGTGTCTGTGTGTGTGCGCGCGCGCGCGCGCGGGCGTGCTCCGCTGCCCGGGCTGATAGCGAGCTGTGTGCGCCCTGTGCCCTCAGGTCTTGGACAAGCTCCTCCTCTACCTGCGCATCGTGCACTCTCTGGATTACTACAACACCTGCGAGTACCCCAACGAGGACGAGATGCCCAACCGCTGCGGCATCGTTCATGTCCGTGGGCCCCTGCCCCCCAACCGCGTCAGCCACGGGGAAGGTGTGTCCCCGTCCCCTGCCCCCCAACCGTGTCAGCCGCGGGGAAGGTGTGTCCCCGTCCCCCCGTGTACCCCCCCCTTGAGTCTCTGCAGCCTGTCTTGTCACCACAGTGCTGGAGTGGCAGAAGACCTTTGAGGAGAGGCTGAGCCCGCTGCTGAGTGTACGCGAGTCCCTTTCTGAGGAGGAGGCCCAGAAGATGGGGAGGAAGGACCCCGAGCAGGAGGTGGAGAAGTTCGTCACCTCCAACACGCAGGAGCTGGGCAAGGACAAGTGGCTGTGTCCTCTCAGCGGCAAGAAGTTCAAGGTGAGCGGAGCGGAGGAGGGGGATGGGGCGGGAGAGGCCGGCACCCCGGAGGCCGGCGTGTCCTCATGGCCTCTGCACCCAGGGCCCCGAGTTTGTGCGCAAGCACATCTTCAACAAGCACGCGGAGAAGATCGAGGAGGTGAAGAAGGAGGTGGCCTTCTTCAACAACTTCCTCACAGATGCCAAGCGCCCGGCGTTGCCGGAGATCAAGCCCTCGCAGCCGCCTGGCCCTGCCCAGAGTAAGATACGATCCGTGGGGCCCGCCCATGCCCCCTTCTGGAGAAGGTGCCCCTGCCCTCCCCGCAGTAATTCACGCTCCTGTCCGTGTTGTACTCCCCCCAGGCCTGACCCCCGGACTCCCCTACCCACACCAGACACCCCAGGGCTTGGTGCCCTATGGCCAGCCCCGGCCTCCCATCCTGGGCTACGGAGGTGAGTGGACGGTGACGGGGGGTGTCGGGGCTGCAGGCTTGGCGGAGCGTGAGGTCAGGCTTTGGTTCACCCTGGGTCTTTCTCAATAGCTGGTGCTGTCCGCCCCGCAGTCCCAGCAGGAGGGCCTCCGTACCCCCACGCTCCCTACGGCGCGGGCCGAGGGAACTACGACGCCTTCCGAGGCCAAGGAGGGTACCCTGGGAAACCCCGGAACAGGTGAGTGGGGAGATGCCCAGACCCCGCCTGCTCCGTCCTGACCCTGACGGCCGCTGGCTGTTGACGCAGACTGCTTTTCCCAGGATGGTCCGAGGAGATCCACGAGCCATCGTGGAGTACCGGGACCTGGATGCCCCTGACGATGTGGACTTCTTCTGAGCCGCCCAGTCGCCCCGCTGCAGCCTCCATGTCTGTACCGTGACCGCCTTCCCCATCAACTGAGAATTTTTTTTGTACGTTATTTTTCCTGCTAGTAAAAGCATTTTGGTAGTGTCCCTCTTCAGTGTGTGTGCGGTATGCCCCTTCCCAAACACAGGCTGAGCCATCGTGAGCTGAATTAGGCCAATTTATTACCGTTTTCAGAGCAGGCTTTTAACCCTGGCTGGCCGAGAACTTGCTGTGTAGACCAGACTGGCTTTGAACTCAGGTCCACCTGCCTGTCATGCCTGGCACAGACTGGACGCTGCGGCGGACCCGTGAGAAGTAAGCAGTTGGCCGTGGCCACTCTTCTGGGATCTGTCCCTCACGGCTGGCAGGGCCTGCCGATTCAGACGCGGCTGGTCAGGCACAGGTTGTAGAAGGAATTGGGGTCAAAGGCACTGTCCACCTTCCGCCAGCCCACCCAGCCGGCAGCTTGCAGCTCACTGGGGCTCTTCGGAGTTCCCCAGCAGTGCGGGTCCAGGATCAGGACATAGGCGTCCGCGCCTGGGCCCTCACACACTCCCAGCAGGGCCTTGGACTGGGCGTCCGCGTCCCCTCCCACCATCACTGGGCCTCCGCCCTCGGCGAAGTGTGCGCAGAGCCGCTCCAGCTCTCCCCGGAGCCCGGCTCCGCGGGGCACGTGGCGCAGGCGCCCCTGAGGTCCTCCGAAGTGCTCAAGGCACAGGCTGGCCTCCACGCAGCCGATCCAGCCCCGGGAGCCCCGGAACCCGGGCGGCTTGTCGCCCATGTCCTCCAGGGCGCCCTGCACCGCCGCCAGCCCGGGCACGCCCGCCGACTGGGCCTCCGGCCAGGAGCACAGCGTCTGCAGGGTGCGGTAGCCGCAGCCCCAGCCGCGGTCGTCCAGCCCGTCGCAGCCGTAGTGGTAGTAAAGGAAGTGGCCCGAGAGCACGGCCAGGCGCGCGGGGCGCCGGCAGGGCGGCGCCAGGCCCCGGTGCACGTCCCGCAGCAGCTCCAGGGCGGCCTCGCTGCGGGCAGGGCGCGCGCAACCGCGGAGCCGTCCCCGAGCGGGAGGGGACGCCGCGGGGAGACCCGGGCTTCCGCGCCCTCGGACGGCTGCCCGCCGCGCAGGCGCAGGCGCAGGCTCCGCCCCGAGGGGCGGGCCAGAGCCCACTTCCGCCGGATGCGAGCCGGCGCGCCCGCGCCCGCCAATCGCGCGGCTCCTCGTCCCCGCGGTCCCGCCCCAGCTTCCGGCCAGCCGCACACGCCAGTGGTTGTAACAGTTTATTGGGCCCGGAGGGGCGAAGGCACGGCGGGGAGGGGGCTCAGCCGGGGCATGCAGAGACGGGGCGCCCCTCGGGGCGCGGGGCGCGCGGGGCCGCCGTGCCGGGCCCCGGCCCTCGGGCAGATAGTGTGCACACGGCGGGGCCGGGCCGGGCCGCCGTCACAGGCCCGCGCAGCGCTCCTGCTTGCTGTAGTGGTCGAACTGGTTCTTCCAGTGCAGCATGTAGGAGCTCCAGCGGTGGAACTCCGCCTTCCACTGGCGCTCCGCCTCGTCCAGCGTGTCTGCGCCGGCGAGCGCGCGTGGTGCCGCGGGGGGGGGGAGCGGACGGCCGCAGCCCCGAGGCGCAGGGCCGCAGGGCGGGGAGAGGGAAAAGAGAAGACAAATGATTGGCGGTTGTTAGCCCTTCGGCAGGCGCCCTCCAGCCCCGGATCCTTCTCCCCTCAACACCAGGCTCAGGCTCCAAAGGAGAAAATTTACATTAAAAACTGGGCTTTGGATTTTTGCTCAAACGAAGATGTGTGGCTCCCTGAGTCTATCCTGTTTGTCTTGGCTCGAGAATGGCGGGGCCCTTGCTTCTCCCCAGCTACACACTAGAGTCAGGGTCCTGTGAGGCCAGAAGGGGAAGAGGCCGTAGTTACAGCCACGGCGGCGGGGAGTGGAGGAGGCCGGGGCGGTGAAGTGAGGGGTTACACCCTGACTCTGCACCCCCTCTCGCTCCCGTCCTTCCTCCCCTTGCCACCTCGTTCGTCTTCCTGCCCCGGGACCCCCGCGCCTACCGGTGGCGCTGAGCAGTTTGGGGAGAAAGCGATTCCAGAAAGCGCAGGTCTGGGCCCGGAGCCCCCGGCGCACCTCCAGCGGCTTCAAGTTCAGGCTCACGTACTGCTGTGCCGCAGCGGTGTAGGGGGGCCACAGTGGAGATTTGGGGTCTCGGGCGTCGTTGGGGTCTCTGAGGAAGGAGGGGGAAATCTCAGCCCGCCCAGGGAAGGAAGGAAGACGTGGCCCCCTTCCCGACTCTGGACCCTCTTCACCTCCCACCCTCCCCCACCTCGCTTCTCCCTACCCCCTTCAGCCAGCCATTTATCCCTCCTCGCGTCCTTCTGTGTGTGAGGCCGAGACCGCGTGACTCAGCCGGGCTGTGCTTCTGCCTCGGTTTCCCAGGGTGAGAGGATTGCAGGCATGGGACAGTGGGCTTTCCTTCCTTAGCACCTTCTACCATCTAGGGGGCTGCTTTCCTCCGACTTCTCTGTCTCTTTCTCCCCTTCCCTTTGTTTTCTTGCTCCATTCTTTTATTTTCCCCTGTCTAGTAAAATAATAATAATAATAATAATTTTTAGCTGGGCATGGCACTACAGCCTTTAATTCCTGCACCCAGGAGGCAGAGGCAGAGGCAGGTGAATGTCTGAGTTTAAAGCCAGCCTGACCTACGTGGAGAGTTCTGGGCCAGTCGGTGCTCTCTAGCGAGACTCCATTTTACAATAAACTAGGATTGTGCGTTTAGCTGTGTAGGTAGGTGCGTTCCGTCTCTGCAGACATCACCTTTTCTTTGGCTAACGAAATCTGATGCCGCCAAGGGTTTGTGCCTGCTGGGCGAGTAAGTTTACCAGCCGAGCCACGCCCCGGCCCTCTGCTGCCTTTCTGTCTTGTCTTTAGATGATGAGGATGATTGGGTGTGAGGGAAAGCAGGAGAGATGGCGAAGGTCGGAGGTGACTGGAGTTGACTCCTTCACCTTTCCGTGGGTTTGAGGGATCCAGCTCAGGCGGTCAGGCCTGCCTAGCAGTGCCTCTCACCCACTGAGCCACCTCCAACCCTCTTGCTGTCTTCAGTGCTGGGAGTGGCCTCACAATGCTGTGTTTTTCAGCCTTCCACCCCTGAGCCACACGTCCAGCACCCCCTGCCACCCCCAGCAGGGCTGTGAACTCCGTAGTGGCCGCTAGTCTGGGACTTGCTGTATACGTCAGACCAGACTGTGCGGAGTGCTGAGAGGTTAGTTCGAGCTGTTTTTGTGTAAGGACTCAGTCTGCCTGCCTTGTTCTCTGCGTCATCTTTGACCCCCCCCCCCCCGCCCGCCTTTGTAGACATTTCCTCTTCCTTTTCCACTACCATCCACGCGCCCCCCTCCTCCCCTGGGCCCCCAGAGGTGTCCCCAGCCCAATACCACTGACCCTTTGCGGGCAAAATTGGTCCAATATTTCATAAGTCGCTGAGCAAAGACTCTCTCCTCCATGGTGTAGTTGAGTGAGGGGTCCAGGGGGAGCCCAAAGATGAACTCGATCTCGTAGCCGTGGGGCACCCCCATCCAGAGGGGCCACGTCAGCGTGGAGGCGCGGTGCTCGAAGACGTAGGCATAGACCCGGGCCCCCTGGGCAGCCAGCCGCCCAGCCAGCTGGGCCACGGGGCACACAACGTTGTGATCGCCCACCACGGCGCTCATGGCGTCCCGCAGGTGGGCGGGGTCCTCGGGGCGCAGCCAGTCTGTGTAGTGGAGGGCCACGGCCTCGGCCGCCAGGTCGCTAGCCTGGGGCACCCCGATCCGTACCCCAGCCAGGAACTGGGCCCGGCTGATGAGAGACTCGTTGTCTTTGCTGAAGCCCGGGACCCCATAAACCAGAAAGTAGGAGCCCTCATCCTTCACCACGCCCACCAGCACCTGAGGACAGTTGGAGACGGGGAAAAGGACGGAGGGAGAGGCAGACAGACAGACAGACAGACAGACAGACAGACATGAACAAGCAGCCGGAGAGAAGGCTGCAGAGCCAGAGGCAGGACAGCAGGGGAGGGACAGGGCCCCGGCCGGAGCGCGCTCCTGGCCGGGCAGCCGCCCCGCGGGGCGCCGCCCTGGGGGCCCGGAGCCCCGGGGACGGGGAGGGTGGCCGGGCCGCCGGCCGCTAGTCACCTGCAGGTCCTGGAAGTCCCCGGCGTTGAGGAGGGCCTCGGGCGTGTCGCTGAGGAAGTCCCCGTCCACCACGGGCACGAAGGAGAAGCGGAAGACGCTCTCCTGCGGCAGCACGTGCCACTCGTGGTCCACCAGGTCCTGCGCCGGCCGCGCCCGCAGGCAGGCGATCAGCTCGGTGTCGTTGGCGCCGCCGGGCGGGCAGCCCACGAGGCGCGCGAGCAGCGTGGCCCGGCGCCGCGCCTCGGCCGCGCCCACCGTGGCCCAGGGCCCGTTCGGGGCGCCGCTCTGCAGGACGGCGCGGCGGAAGAGGCCGCGGCTGGGCGGCGACAGCACGTGCAGGCCCACCGAGGCGGCGCCCGCGCTCTCCCCGAACAGCGTCACGGCCGCGGGGTCGCCGCCGAAGGCCGCCACGTTGTCGCGCACCCAGCGCAGCGCCAGCCGCTGGTCCAGCAGCCCCACGTTGCCCGGCGCGTCCCGGCTGCCCGGCAGCGCCAGGAAGCCGAAGGCGCCCACGCGGTAGTTCATGGACACCAGCACGGCGCCCTCGGCGCGCGCCAGGAAGCGGCCGTCGTACACCGCCAGCGAGGCGGCGCCGCTGTAGAAGCCGCCGCCGTAGATCCAGACGAGCACGGGCGCGGGCGCGGCGGGCGGCGGCAGCGGCGCCCACACGTTCAGGTACAGGCAGTCCTCGCTCAGCGCGCGGTTGGGGTTCCACATCTCGGTGCCCTCGAACCCGGGGTACAGCGTGTCCACGTACTGGTAGCACACGTTGGGGAAGGCCGTGGCGTCCAGCACGCCGGGCCACGGCCGCTTGGGCTCGGGCGGCAGGAACCGGCGCGCGCCCACCGGCGGCTCCGCGTAGGGCACGCCCAGGAAGGCGGCCACCGGCCCGCCCGGCGCCCGCAGCCGCACGCCCCGCAGCTGCCCGCCGCGCACCCGCGCCAGCGGC